CCCGACCACTTTCCAAGCGGCTATGACAACGGAGTTCCGACACATGCTGGATCGATTCGTACTTATCTACCTCGACGACATCCTGGTGTACAGCCTTTGGACGAGCATGTGGAACACCTGCACACCGTTTTGGAGCGGCTACGACAAGCCAAGTACAAAGCCAACCGCGACAAATGCGAATTCACACGGCAAGAGCTGGAGTACTTGGGACATTATGTGACGCCGCAAGGCATCCGTCCACTTGCGGACAAGATCGAAGCCCTCCGTGTATGACCCGAGCCCACCAACATCATGGACGTCCGTTCATTCATGGGGTTGGCGGGCTACTATCAGCGATTCATCACCGGGGCTACTATCATTGCTGCACCTATGACGAGATTACAATCGCCAAAGGTGCTATTCGTATTCGATGACGACGCACGCCGGTCATTCCAAGCACTTAAGACGGCCATGCTCCTGTCTCTTATACACATCTAGATGTGTATAAGAGATAAGTTGCCACGTGGTGTCCGCCGCAAGCATGCGAGCTTCCATCATCAGAGGCGACATCGAGGAGATGGGGGTGTGTTTTCTCCACGCCCTCCCGCCCCATGACGCTTCATCGAAGGACTCATCTTCGGACCCACGCATCACCGAACTTCTCGACGCCTACGGCGACGTGTTCGAAGACCCGCACGGAGTAGTACCGGATCGGCCCATCCGCCACGAGATGATCCTCGAGGACGTGGTTGTACCTCTGCGTGGTTGCATCTACCAAATGAGCGAGGAAGAGTTAAGTGTGCTTTGAGCACAACTCGACGACCTTCTGGAGAAAGGCTGGATTCGGCCTAGCTCATCGCCATATGGTGCTCTCGTTCTCTTCGTCCGGAAGAAGAACAAGGATTTGCGGTTGTGCATCGATTATCGCAAGCTCAACGCGCAAACGGTCAGAAACGTCGGCCCTCTTCCACGCATCGACGACCTTCTCGAACGGCTGGGTTGCGCCAAGTTCTTCTTCAAGCTTGACCTCAAGTCGGGATATCACCAACTCGATATTCGGCAGGAGGACCGCTACAAGACCGCGTTTAAGACGCGATATGGGCATTTCGAATGGCTGGTTATGCCATTTGGCCTTACGAATGCCCCG